ACTGAACAGGAAGTCTTGTAAGTCTTTGCACTTTGGTGGTTTTTGGTCACCGGCTCGCGGCACCACAGCAGATCTCCGGCTGCCGTCACTTCACATCACATCAGGAGGTAAGACGAACACTCAGCCTTCGTTTTGGGGTCCAGCTGTGCCGTTTGTGGCTCATCCAGATGTTTGTGTATAAGATTAAATCTGTGACTGTCGGCAAAGTTTACTCCTGATGTGGTCGCGCAGGTGCGTAAACGCGTAAAGAGTGGAACCGTGGCTTTGCGCGTAAAATGTGATGTGGTGGAAGCGCGGGGTAGACGTGGGTGGATGCGCTGTTTTGTTTTGGGATTTTTTTGGCATGTCTTGGCATCCGTCCTCCTCACCGCAGTGCCCGTGCACATCATCAGCAGTTTGCCCTGGGAGGCAGCGAGCACTTATGAGCCATGTGTTGCTCTCAGTGTCGCTTGAATCGAATGAGGAGATCCACAGAGCGTAACGTTGGCCCGGAGGAGGGCTCAGGCAACGTTTTCAGGGAAGCACGGGGAACGGGTCAGACCAGTACCGAGGAGCGACTCAGCTGCTGCAGCTGCGGCGTGTCGGTGCGTCACTCCGCCGACCTGTCACTGCGCACTTCTTCCTTTTTCAGCCGTCGATCTATTTTGCAGCGAAACACTTCCTCCATACCAGTCAGTGTGTAACACAACTCACCATCCTCACCCAGCACCTTGTAATAAGCAAAATTACCTTTGAGTCGCCTTCAGGGCCAATTTTCCTGGTTAAAGCGCGAAAGGTTACGCTCTCTGCTTCTTGTTTGCGTGTCTGTTTCCACAGCTTATGTGGCACTGTAACACAACATTACACACACACTCAGCTGGCGCTTTAGGTACCCTAAGGGACAGCTTCCACACTTTAAACACACATGCTCAGAGAAATCAAACCGGTTAGGTTGTGTAAACTTAGAGATTTCTTTTTCTTTTTGGGGTTGAACCAGCCTCTGTCGTGTTAGATAACGCCTGCTTAAATGTGAGTATCTGCTTGTTAACATTTTAACCATTTCCAGTCCAAATGCTCAATTAGCCCTCAAAATCTATCAAACGCTGAGGTGCCTGAGCGTTAAAAATGTTCAGCTATAATAAAATAATGAGTGTGGCTTTGCTCCCTGGTGTTTAACATCCAGAGATGCATGAAAACGAGGATTTATGAGCTTTAGCTAAGCAAGAAGGTAGATTTTAAAGATGATATGCTGTGTTCTGACTGAAGTATGTAATGCTGGATGGACACAGAGGCAGAAGGGCTCTGGGTATGGT